ATGCATGGATGTATGTATGTATGTATGTATGTATGTATGTATGTATGTACACATATGTATGTATGTATGTATGTATGTATGTATGTATGTATGTATGTATGTACGTATGTATGTACGTACGTACATACGTACATACGTACATACATACATACATACATACATACATACATATTACATACACCTGTATATACATATATACATATATACACGCACATTCTCCTACAGCTCAGGAGTTCTTGGACCACCGCCGCACCAGTCATGGAGATGACGTGCCCTGACGTTGTTCTTTCCGTTTTAGACCTGGGTCTTAGGGTGTATGGGGCCTCAGATCTACAGGTTTCAGGGTTTTGGGGGTCTTCGGGCTTTAGGGTTTTAGGGTTTAGGGGTTTAGGGTTTAGGGTTTTAGGGCTTATAGGGTTTAGGGTTTTAGGGTTCAGGGTTTGGGACTAGGGTCTCAGGGTGTTGGGGTCTTGGTTAAGGGTCCTCGGTCTTGAATCTGGCGTCTTGGGATTAATTAAGGGCGATGGTCTTGGTAAGTCTTAGTGTGTTCACCAAGAGCCGAAAGAGCACTCAATAAACTCTGAGGGGTGTTATGCAGCGCAAACTTCGATTTTGCGCGCTGGGTGGTGTTAGAATCTTGGAAGCTTCCTGTTTAATAGGGAGAGTTTGGGGTTTGTCGGGTTTGGGGGCTCCAGGCGTAATAGTCCGGGGGGTTAAACTTCTGAGGTTTAGCTGCGCTTCCCTACACCTTGAACCCCGAGGACATCCAACATCTTCTTCCTGCTATCCTTAACCCTAAACCCTATAGCAAACTCCAAAAAGTTGGAAACCGGATTACGGACAAATAGTGCTGGGATTCCCGATACATTACTCTTGAGGATTGAGACTATTGGATTTCCAACTTTTGGGCTTCTACTGTAAGCCGTTAATTGTTTAGGGTTTAGGGTTTAGGGTTAGAGTCTGAAGTTGTAGGTTTTGGTGTAGGCGCCTATCGAGTGGGAGGACGAGGCCGGGAACTTGGTCCGAAGTACACAGTACCCTTTCCTTAAGGACGAAATGACCCTTAAAAGTCCGGGCCCTATACCCTTATACTAGGATCCCTTTGATATGGTGTATACGAACCTCAAAACCTTGTAGGGTCCAGTTCGTCCTTAAGGGTTCCCGCAACATAAGCTGCAGCTGCTGTCTGCTATGTGTCACCACCCAGAAACTCCAGACCCCGATTTAGGGCTTAGGGTTTAGGGTTCAGGATTTAGGGTTTAGGGTTTAGGGTTTAGGGTACGTACGGCCCGAGACACTGCAACCGGGCCAGCTTTTCACATGACGTGCCAATGTGTAGTAGCTCAGTTCTCAGAGAATGACTCAAGGACGAAATGACCCTTAAAAGCAGGGACCTTGTGCCCTTATACTATGAATCGCTATATGGGTGGTTGTCAAAACTATGGTCCTTTTTGGCTCCTTATTATAATACGGCACCTATTATTTAGGGTACCCCAAAAGGGACCATAATTTTGACAACTACCCATGTGGTATATGAACCTTAAACCCTTTTAGAGTTCATGTCGCCCTTCAGGTGTATTTCGACAGCACTACATACTGTCGGTAGTAGACACTACCATGCTGGGCGCAACGAAAACTATTCTGCATGTCTTACGAAGAAACCTGGTTTAGGATTTGGGGTTTAGGGTTTAGGGTTCTGCTCAAAATTGACAACCGCAACACGGTTTTCGTTCTTCGGTTTAAGGTTTAGGGTTTAGGGATGAGCTGAGCAACGAAGGTGGCAGGAGCAAAGCAGCCGGGTGCTTTGGCCAACGACTGCAAAAGGCAGACCTTTGGGCGGTAGGGGGCTTCCTTGGTTTACGTACCCTAAACCCTAAACCCTGAACCCTAAACAACCCTGAACCCTAAACCCTGAACCCTGAACCCTAAACCCTGAACCCTGAACCCTGAACCCTAAACCCTAAACCCTACCGTGTCCCCAGGCCTTACTCTAGCTATTCAATCCCCAGACCCCCAAAAGGATCTAAAAAAAAGATCGCCTAATTAGAGACCCTAACTACTAAAGGGTACTTTATAGGAGCCCCCTAAACCCTATAAACCCTAAACCCTAAACCCTAAACCCTAAACCCTAAACCCTAAACCCCCTTAGGGGATCTATTTTTTTAGATCCTTTTGGGGGTTTGGGTCCCTGTCTGAGGAGCCGGAAATCCCGGAACCACCGGAGACCCAAACCCGTCGATACGAAAACCGACCGGAAGCCCTTGGGGCTTTTGGGGGTTTAGGGCGTTTTGGGGTTTAGGGCTTAGGGTTGAGGGTTTGGGGCTTTTGGGGTTTAGGGCTTTAGGGCTTTTGGGGTTTAGGGATTTTGGGGTTTAGGGCTTTAGGGCTTTTGGGGTTTAGGGATTTTGGGGCTTCGGGTTTAGGGCGTTTTGGGGTTTAGGGTTTCGGGGTTTAGGGGTTTAGGGCTTAGGGTTGAGGGTTTGGGGCTTTTGGGGTTTAGGGCTTTAGGGCTTTTGGGGTTTAGGGATTTTGGGGTTTAGGGTTTAGGGTTTAGGGGTTTAGGGTTTAGGGTTTAGGGGTTAGGGGTTAGGGGTTAGGGGTTAGCGTTTAGGGGTGTAGGGCTTAGGGTTTGGGGTTTAGGGTTCAGGGTTCAGGGTTTGCGGTTTGGGGTTTGGGGTTGAGGGTTACGGGGTACACACTGAAGCCTAGTTATGAACCCTCAAAGCCGAAGACTCAAAACGGCAAAAGCCCTGGTGTGGTTTTTGAACCCGGGAACACAAATTTCAGTCTTTCGAGCCTTAGGCCATAGAAATGTAGAGCCATTATGCAACTTATATAGGGCTTAGGGCTTAGGGCTATGCAGTTATGCAATTCTTCCAGAAACCTTTCTGAACCCTAAACCCGAAACCCTAGAGCCTAAACCCTAAACTCTAAACCCGAACCCCGAAACCCTAAACCCCAAACCAGGAAGCTTCTCAAAGGCAAAATCTCCCTTTCAAGCCCTGTAGTTTTCCCAGCTGCCCCTACACAAAACACCCTAAAGAGCCCCGTCCCTAAACCCCCAGAGCCAACCCTAAACCCTAAACCCTTAACCCCTAAAGCCCCAAACCCTAAAATCTCGAAAGCCCCTTCCAAAGCCTCTCAGACCGCCGAAAATTCCTTTAAGTAGTCGCATATGCGTTACCCTAAGGGTCCATGAATACATGTTAGGGTTTAGGGTTTACGGTTTAGGGGTTTAGGGGTTTAGGGGTTTAGGGGTTTAGGGTTTAGGGTTTAGGATATACTTTGGCCTTAATGTAGTCCCTATATAGGTACTTTGCGGCCAAAGTATACACTATTTGGGCACATGGACCCTTAGGGTTAAGTTAGGGTAGGAACCCTCCTGCGGTTTAAGGCAAGGATTTTTGGACTCGTTTGGCTCTCCCTCCCCCTTAGAACCCTAAAAGACCCCCACGCCCTAAACCCGACACCCTAGAGCCACGGTTGAGGGTTTAGGGGTTTAGGGTTGAGGGTTTAGGGTTCAGGGTTCAGGGTTCAGGGTTCAGGGTTCAGGGTTCAGAGTTCAGGGTTCAGGGTTCAGGGTTCAGGGTTCAGGGTTCAGGGTTTAGGGTTTAGGGTTTAGCGTTTTGGCAGGTTGGCATATGCCCGCCGCCGCAGCGAAAGCAGCCAGGCGCCTTTGCGCGGTTCCACAGCCGCCGAGGTGGAGACTGCCGGGGATCCCTTTTCAGGGTTCTTGTAAGGGGTCCTCCTTCGGCTTGCTGGAGGGGTGTAAGGCTTTCGGGTTTAGGGCAAGCTTAGCGTTTAGTGCATGTAGGATTTGAGTTTATGGTTAACCCTACACCCTAAACCCTAACCCCTAAACCCTACACACCCTAAACCCTAAACCCTAAACCCTAAACCCTAAACCCTACACACCCTAAACACCCTAAACCCTAAACCCCCGGTAAAAGTGCCAGGGCAATCGGGGGGAACCAGCAGCTC